GTGGACCAGATCATCCTAAGTGCAATCACACAGCACCTACAGGAGGGACATGGGATCAGACCCAGCCAGCACGGGTTTAGGAAGGGCAGGTCCTGTCTGACCAACCTGATCTCCTTTTAGGATCAGGTGACCTGCCTGGTGGATGAGGGGAAGGCTGTGGATGTGTCTACCTGGACTTCAGCAAAGCCTTTGACACCATCTCCCACAGCATACTCCTGAAAAAGCTGGCAGCCCATGGCTTGGACAGGGGCACTCTGTGCTGGGTTAGGAACTGGCTGGAGGGCCGGGCCCAGAGAGTGGTGGTGAACGGTGCTGCATCCAGTCACTAGTGGTGTCCTCCAGGGATCAGTGTTGGGCCCAGTCCTGTTTAATATCTTTACTGATGATCTAGATGAGGGGATTGAGTGCACCATTAGCAAATTTGCAGGTGACACCAAGCTGCGGGGGAGTGTCGATCAGCTGAAAGGGAGGAGGGCTCTACAGAGGGACCTGGACAGGCTGGAGAGTTGAGCTGATTCCAACAGGATGAGGTTCAACAAGGCCAAGTACTGGGTTCTGCCCTTTGGCCACAACAACCCCCGGCAGCACTACAGGCTGGGTACAGACTGACTGGAGAGCAGTCAGACAGAGAGAGACCTGGGAGTTGGATTGACAGGAGGCTGAACATGAGCCAGCAGTGTGCCCAGGTGGCCAAGAAGGCCAATGGCATCCTGGCCTGGATCAGGAATGGTGTGACCAACAGATCCAGGGAAGTGATTCTTCTTCCCCTGTACTCAGCACTGGTGAGGCCACACCTGGAGTACTGCGTCCAGTTGTGGGCACCTCAGTTCAGGAAGGATATTGAGGTGCTGGAGCAGGTCCAGAGAAGAGCAATGAGGCTGGTGAAGGGACTTGAGCACAAGTCCTGTGAGGAGAGGCTGAGGGAGCTGGGACTGTTCAACCTGGAGAATAGGAGGCTCAGGGGAGACCTCATCACTTTCTACAACTCCCTGAAAGGAGGTTGTAGCCAGGTGGGAGTTGATCTCTTCTCCCAGGCAGCTATCAGTAAGACAAGAGGGCACAGTCTTAAACTGTGCCAGGGGGGTTTAGGTTAGATATTAGGAAGAAATTCTTTACAGAGAGGGTAATCGGGCATTGGAATAGGCTGTACAGGGAAGTGATGGGTTCTCCATCCCTGGAGGTTTTTAAGATGAGACTGGATGTGGCACTTAGTGCCATGGTCTAGTAACCACGATGGTAGTGGATCAAGGGTTGGACTTGATGATCTTCGAGGTCCCTTCCAACACAGTTGATTCTATGATGCTGTGATTCTATGATCTTAGTGCTCCGATGCATCTCTTTATGTCTGCCTTACCTTTAAGTTAAATCTCTGATGCAGACATTGTGTAATAATACTTGGAAGTTATTTACATCCAGTCTAAAGAACCTTTTAGTTCTAGTTTTAAATTAAGGACTCCAGTGGTTTCAGTCCTTGATAAGTAAAACAGTTGGATTTCACACCAATCACACCAAGGCTCAGTTACATTTTAGTCACAGCAGTGAAGTGATGCATGAAACTGACTGTACTGTAAAATCTCATTGTTATATGGATGAGGAAATGGACTGGCTCCAGACAGTAAAACAATCCTGAGACAGGGAAAAATACATATTGAAGCTTTCAGCAGAGAGAATTGTTCAGAATTAAATGTATTCTTTTGTTAGGGGGCAATAAACCATGATCTAAAGGTAATTAGGCAATGGGAACTGTTCTCATGTGTCAGTATGATGCTACCAGAGTACAGTATACGTTGTTCACAGAGTATGCATGCTCACCTTATCCCACTAAGCACTGGAGTTCTGTGGAGCAGAGTAAAAAAGCACGTAGATATAGGTGTTTACCTCCAAATGGATTTTAATAGAGGATGACTTGTGTATGTCCTAAACTGTTTATTTAGGCTGTTCTTCTCTGCTTGAACTTATTTATTTTCATGTTTTTGAAATCACTAAAATAAGACCTTTCTGCTATTATTTTTGTCCATTTTAAGCTGGACTCTGATACCTAAAATATAGCAAAGTGCAGAGAATTTGCATTTTAACTGATAACTCTGGGATCTGGTGGTCCCAAAACCTGATAATAATCATGATCAGAATGCCTTGAGTAGATAACAAGGAGAATTCATGCAATTTTGCATTGGAAATTTTCCCGTAGGTTTTTCAAATACAGAAAAAATACACTAGATAAAATGTGTATTGCTACTACTTGATTTCAGAATTCCTGAAAAGTGTACCCAGAGAAAGTGTTGAGCCCTCATTGAAAACTGCTTATTCCTTCATACTGCATAGAGAAAGAAAATTTTGCTAATTATCTGGTTATTCCCTCCTATGCTTCAAGCAAATCAACAGCTTCCCACAGTCCTGAGTCAGCTACAACCTGAGACCCTGCAAAGACTTCTGAAAGGCATCAGAAGTAGGTGTTTGAAGGCAGTGAGCAAAACCTTCCTTCCAGTGAAAGCTCTTTGTCAGGTCAACCGTTGTCATTTAAATTGAGCAGTTAAGTATTGAAGCTAATAGTGTAACATGGTGATGGATATAATATACCCTCTGCAGGAAAACCCCCCCACGCAGGTCCTTTACATGCTGGTGCTTTCCCTCTCTGCTAGTCTCATTACAAGGACTCATTTCCGTTTTGATAATACAGCAGTGATAATAGGTATTAGCTCAATGCAGGAAGGAGGAGTGTTGAGCCTGAGGGAAAATGTCATCTGTGATAGAGTAAATTTTATTGTCCTCCAACCATCTTCTAGACACAGATGTCGGTTCATGGGCCCTCTTTACTAACCAGTTTGTTACTGGAAGCCTTGTTTCCTATGTTACCTCAGCTGAATTAAGTCTAAATTAAGCCTTTGAGCATTTTATTCCAACTCCATCAGTACCATCAGCAGATGCCATCATAGTCCATGGTCAGCCTGGACTGCCCAATAGGAGTCTGCTCATATTAGTATCCATTCCCCTGGATTGCTGTAGTGTTAAAGTATGGATGATCCAGGCTTTCCCCTCAAGAAATCTCATTAATCATAAAGACAGAAAATTTTCAACCCTCTTCTTCCTTTGGGAGATTTTTCCCTCACATCTATTGGCTGAAATGAATAGTAGCCAGACAGTGCTTTGCTTTACCAGTTAGCAAAGCTGGTGGCAAACGTTTAGAGGAGTGGGAAACACTTCCCTATGAAGAGAATTAGCCTGAGGTCTTGCTGTGAGAGGGGTGGCTTTGGAGAATGACAGTGGAAAAAAAATACCATCTGTTAAAACAAAGAAGTCAATATTCCCTGGACTTGTAAGTCCTGGATAAGGACATTCACAGTGTATTTTTCTCCCAGTGCATAAGTATACCACCAGCCCCATTGATTTTCTGCTTATATCAAGGGAATGATCTATACCTCTTTTGGAGAGATGCTAACTCTCTGGAGAGAACCACTGAGATTTCATGGTGACATGTATCACAGTTGCTATAAAATTACAATTTATCTGCTGAATTCCCATTGACTGAGATAACACCTTACCAGGAAAGTGAATCTGCTTTGATTTTCTATAATAGCACTCCTGACATTTATGTACCCTTGCCCCTTGCTTATCTGTCTTGTGAATATCTCCAGGTCAGAATGTAAAGGTACATGATATTTACAAATCACAGCTTTTTCCACTATTTACTTTGTGATGTTGACAAGGACTGAATCACAGAAGGTATGAAGTGTCTTTGTTGTAAGTTTTCACATATTTTTATTAGAGCACAGGCAGAGGTGCTCTCAGGACCAGAAATTATGTTGACCTATTATACGTGCCCATGAAAATCTGGTATGTTCACAAATACTACACTGTTATCTCAGTTCTCATTTCAGCTATCTCTGTTTTCCTGTTTATGTTTCTGTTAGCAAATGCTGTTTGGAGTTGAACTCAACACAAGTTCACTTGTCCTCCAGTCCTGAATGAATTATTGAGCTTTTGAACACTTAGTTGGTGGATAGAATCCTAAAGAAAGAAGAAAGCAGAAAAGGAAGGGAAAAGCAAATCAAAAACTTCTTTAGAAATAGAACTCATTAAATTTATTGCTTTTGTATGTGTTACAAGTGTGGAATATGTATTTATAGAAGGGGTTATTTGTTTTGTTTTAGCTTTATAAGGAAAAGCTAGAAACAGCAATTAAAGTCACAGCTGATAGTCTATAAGTTATTTTTATGACTGGCTTTACTGCTTGTTTACATGACAGATCTCACAGAGATACCAGGCACTTAAACATCAACCAACTACTGGCATTCAATGAACCTCATTAGTTTTAATTGTATTTATTTTTATACCTATTATAGTAACATTTACCAGCTGAAATTAATATTGCTTAGATTGGTTTCTCCATCTAAAAGTGAGTTATCTAAACTCTGTCCATAAACAATACAGACAGGCAACTTGAGAAAGCAAGTCATGTAGCCTGTCCTAAATGCTCTTGTGAGGAAGGGATGAATCACTCCCCAGTTTCTCTACTGACCACAGAAAGGGTCTTGTTTAAAGTGTTTGCCTTTTCTATGCCTGCAGTTAGGCAAAAGAAGTTATGCTCATAGTAACAAAATAGATCTTATCATCTAAGTCAGTCAGGTATAAACAGAGGAGGGAAGAGAGTAGCAGAGGTGGAATCTCTTGCCCGGGGATCCAACAGATCAGTGATAAAGCAAATAAAATGACTAGTCTTCAGCTTTCGGGCCACTATTTTACTTCAAGCCTTCCCTTCACCTTTATAGTTGGTGTGAGCTTAGCTATGGGAATCAATGGGAGCAGGGTGACTGCCTAGATGGCCACCTGTAATGATTTAAAATTGGTAGGTTTATGTTTATCTGTTCAGAAATCACTGCTACATTTCACCTATTTTTCAAACAGTATCCCATAACTTTGTGTTGTTTACTACCTAGGGAGCAGTATAAACCAGAGGAATGACCCACTCAAACCTCACTAATGAAACTTCTTTTGCATTGCAGTTGACTTGGACAGGTTGAATGATGACGTGAAACGTTACAGCTGCACCCCGAGAAACTACTCTGTCAATTTAAGGGAGGAACTGAAGCTGACAAATGTAGTTTTCTTCCCCCGCTGCCTCCTTGTCCAGCGCTGTGGAGGAAACTGTGGCTGTGGGACTCCAAACTGGAAATCTTGCATGTGCATGTCAGGGAAAACAGTGAAAAAATATCATGAGGTATTTTCATTCTTTCTTTGTTACTTCTTTTGGGTATTTATTGCTTCCATGGATTCTGAAGTCTTTTCTCCAAGCCATGTGTGCTGCTTGTTAATTGACTATCACGTTAATATTGATCCATGCTATATCATGTTATATTAACATGCTTATATTGATCATCATGTTGTGTATCTGCAGTGCAAAAATCAATGGGCAAAAATTACTGACACAGTGAAGGGTCATAGGTGAAGATGCCATCATTTGAAAGACACCTCAGTATTTGAGTGAATGCCTTCTGTGCTTACCACTCTTCGTGAGATGAAGGATCTGCTTAGGCTTTAAGACAGGTTCAGGTAGCTTTAAAGTGAAAACATAGATAAAAGCATCTCTATTGCTGTCCATGCAAGATACCAGCTTGGTACGTCATGGAGCATCATTTGTACCTTCCACTGCAATAAGGCATAGAGACAGAGACACACACAGAGTCAACATGCAGGAAGGCCTAATTCTAAGTGTTTAATATTGATGTCTTTAATGCCACAACATCACCCAGTGATATGCATTTGGAAGTGCTGAATGAACAGAGTGGAAGGAGGTTATGTATGTGTGACAAAGGGGTGTTAGCAGGTGTTTATGGGTAAGTTAATTTAGAACCAGTTAGAGAGAACTTTTGCCACCTCTGAGTGGATGCTACCACAGCATCCTAGTAAATTTTGTTGCAAGAATGAGGCTCATATTGGGCTGATTTTTCCCATCAGAGAACTGATACAAAGTGGATATATATGCCTCTGGAAATAGTCTTTTTAGTAGCGCAGAGACGTGTGTTCCTTGAGACATTTGACTGCACTTCCTCTTGCTTTAAACTTATGCCCACATTTGGAAATTATAAGTAAGTCCCTTGCAAACTCTCTTCCCTTCCAGACTTATTACCTGTAGGAAACAGCTGAATCATTCAGCCTTATCTTTTCTCCAACTCAGCAATTTTTTAGGAAGGCAAAATTTTTGCATAGGAACGATGTCCATTATGTTTATTTTTAATCTGTTCAGAACACATTTAGAGAGGGAAAACACAAGGAAAGAGCATTTTATATTCTTGCCTCTAAATTGGTATTTTCAGATCAAGACATGAACGATGTAGACTAAAGTGAAGATATCTAGCAAAGTTACTTGGTAGCAGCCCTTTTAACAGTCTGAACATAGGGAAGCTGCATGCCATGCTGACTTAATTTCTGACACATATCTCTTGTTAAGAGCCTGATTTACCACTTGGCTTAAGTCCCAAGTGAAAATAAACTTTATGGACTTTAAACCTGGATGTGATGTGGACTCGTAACATTAAGGCATTATCTTGGGAGACCCAGGGCTGCAATAGCAGAGGGTTGTTGAAGGTCAGACCTTTGCTGCACTGTGAGCAATGTGGTTACTCTTTTCCAAGGTAAGTGATATTTTCTCACAATTAACTGTGGCATACAACATACTCCACATCAGCTAGGACTAGAGAATAGTTAATATTTTCTCTAATTTTATACAAGATGCAGGGAATGACCCTGGTAATTACAGAGCAGAAAGCCTTATCTCAATGGTAGAAAAGTTAATTGGAAAAAAAATTAATAGGTTTATGACACCTAGATGACTATGAGCTGATAAAATGAACTTGGAATGCCTTATATATGAATAAATATTTATACAGTGCTACAACAAGAATGCTAAAAGGCCTGGAACCTTCTTCAGTGAGCAAACAGTCAACCAGACAAGAGTAGACAGGGATTATAAGCTGGTTAAGAGATAAAAAGCAAAGAGGTGGAAGAGATGAACAATTTTCTAAATAGGAAAGGGCTACATGAGGTGCCCCCAGCACACAGACTAAGTGTTATTTCATGTATGATCAGTCTGAATGGAGGTGAACAGACAGGTGGAAAAAATGACAGCTAGCACAGGAGATAACACCGTAACAGCAGAGAAGGCTGTGAGGAATTTCAGAAAGCCTAGGTAACTACTTGTAAATGTAGGTTATAAAAGCAGCAAGCATTAGAACGAATGGTCTACACTATCTATTCATATAACACTAGGTGTGTGAAGGGAGGAGGAAGAAATGAGGGGTGGAAGTTATGCTAAAAGTTGAGTAGTGAGTCACTGTGAAGAGCTTCAGGAAAACAGCTGTTTAGTGCAGTGATAGGAAAAAGACAAGTGACAGTCTTCTGCAGGAATGGAGATGAAGGGGTAATAACACAGTAGGTATTGTAGCCTGGATAAATTGGTGGGGTGCTTATACTGGGTTTTGACCATTGGTGCTTATAATGGTACAGGTAGGACTAGAAAAATTATATAGAAACAGTTAACATACATCAAGAGAGATACAGGGGAAGATACAGATCAAAGTCATTTGTAAAGAAAATGGCTCAAAAGTTTTGCATGATATCACTTAGAAACAACACTCAGAATAAGAGAGAACACAGTGAAAGGTAGAAAATAAAGAACACTAGTTAAAGGAAAATCAGGTCTTCCTAAATAATCTCTTCCTTAAGAAAAAAACAAGAGAGAGATCGAAAGGAAACTAACTTAAAATAGAAAAAAGGCATCATATTTTTTTCACAGTAAATCTGTATGGAATTTCAATGCTTAAATATGAGCTGTGCATAATTCAGAAGAGTTCTTAAAGAACTAGAAGTAAAATATAAACTAAAGAATTCTGAGTTACACCTGTATCAGAATTTAAGCCAATTGTTGACAGCAGCTAATAAAAAAATGCTGATTATAAACATGTTATCAAACATTTACTTGTTATCAGGTGTTTGGAAGCTGCTGGTACTGGGACACCAGAATATCACACTAGCCAAGTATTGCTCAGAATCAGGATGTCATGACTTATGACCGCACCAAACTAATCACTAAATTCAGGAAATTCAGCATTCACACTAATACATCACTGTTAATTTATTTTTCCATTTCTTTTTTTTCTCCAAAAACTGCATGAATTCAAGACAGTGTTTCATCTCTAACATTAAATGGCCTTTGTAAGTTTAAATTTAAACTTAACCCTTAGGCATGAATTAGCAGCTTGCTGGGCAGAAATTTAGCCAAGTGTCTTCCATTAATGCGAGTGGAAGTCATGCAGATAAATTCATGTATCACATACTAAAGATGTGTTCGTTAATTTTAGTCCAAAATGTTTTCCACTCTATTATTATTATTAGGCATGCATAGTTAATCAGTTTTATTCTTATTATCCTTTGACACTTAACTCTAATTTTACTTAAATACCTGGCAGTAAAGGCCCTGAGGAAGGGCCTCTCAGTATGCCAGTTTTAGAACCATGGAGACAGTTTACTCTCTTAAAAGCCAGTTTAAAACCTATTAACCTTAACCAAAGAGCCTTTAGTTGCATAATGAGGGACAGAGCTTCACACTTTATGAAATTCCTAGCACTGTTAATTTGGTTAAAAATCTCTGCCTACTGCTGCAGGAGAACAAAGGCCAGAAGACACCAGAAGGAAGTATTAGGTAGTGGAGCAAAGCAGATGTTTGTAGTAGCTGAAATGGAGTCCTACAGATCCCAGATCACTTCTCTTGCCAGGCTGATTTTCCCTAACTGCTATTCTGGGGCTTTATCTACTGAGCTCCGGAATCCACAAGAGTTGTTTGTCCTGCACATGAATATGGTTGTCCTCAACAGTAAAAACTTGTCTGGAGATCATTTAAAAGTTGAGTGGAATTTCTGAGCTACCCAGTGTTTCTGGGCGAGAAGGACAGGCAGGCAAATTTTCCAGAAGGGATGGGCTCCTTTTTGGCTTCATAGCCAGTATTGGAATAGCTGCATGCTGGCAGCTGTGAGGACCCTAAAGTCCAGTGTTGGTTGACAGAGAGGCTTCTAGTGCAGAGAGATTCCAAAGTTATATTCTCCTTATGCTTTTAATGTTTTTTAGTTCCCCCTTAGTTCCTGTTCAAAACCTCACACTGTACTCATCACCGAGCACTCCCTCCTAGCCTAGCCTCTCAGGACTAATAGCTATCACGTGTAGCCTTTAATTTCCCCAAGCTAAGAGCGCTGCTCCAGTTCCCTGGATGGAATGTACAGATCTTTTCTATCTTGTCCAATTGTAAGAAGTGATGCAACAGCAGGAAAATGAGAACATGAGAATGCCACAGTAAGGGGTAGCTTTTTTTATTGCCCTGGGGAATGTTAATCATGAGATCTCAAGTCTTTTTTATGGCCTGGAAGTTTGCCATGACTTTACCAAAATACTCTGTTTCCAAAAATAAACAGGTTCATAACTTGGGTAAACAGATAGTTTTATAGGTGGGGTTTTTTGGGTGTTTGTTTTGTTTGTTCTGTTTTGCAGGAGTCTTGTGATGCTCTGTGGTTTTCCATGGCTTCTGGGTTTGCTTGAGACCAGAGCAAATACTCTGGACAAAGACTCATGACTTACCACATAATATCACTTATGGCAGACTGTGCCCAGGAGACATTTTCAGACACTGCCAGGACTTGGCCTATTTGGTTTGAACGGTCCATGATACTGTTATGTTGTAGGGCTCCCTGCAGGGGAAAGACAAAGCAACACATGGAAATGGATGCAACACACCTTAATCAAATGCTCAGGTCTACTGCTGTCTTAACTTTCTGAAGGGGACTTGAAATGAAAGCATGTTTTTCGTTGCACCACATTTCTTTGGAAATGCCTGGAGCTGCTCTTTAAAGAGAGGTGGGCTCTAAACCTGAAGATCACTCAGCCCAGAGTAGGTGTGGGGGAACTCGGGGCCAGAACTCAGTTCAGCTGCAGCTACAGCTGTCTTATCCAGCCAGCATGCATATACCTCAGAGAAACAAGAAATCAGTTTCCCCATCTCATTGCTGTAACTGATGAGATGTGAAATGAGTTTCCGTAGGGAATAAGTGCTCTTAAGGTAGCAACCAGAATTTGTCAAAGTGCATAAACCTCCACAAACACAGTGCTGAGCAACACAGCTAAAAAGCATATAAGGAAAAAAGCAAAGTAGTGAAAACTGATTGCATCTTTTAC